GTCTGGGTCAGTGGGTACCACCAGCCCCTTCTGGTGTAAACACACCAAAACTACAGGGAAAGGACGATCTTTAACTATGAGGAAAAGGGAGAAAGATCCAGGAGGGGTCTTGACACAAAAGCTTCTGTACTCCCAGGGGCCCACTTTCCCTGTCTAGAGCAGATGTCACCCACTATGCACCACTGAGCCTCCATCCTCCTAAACCTTTCTTGGTCTCACCATGTGACTATGGTAGATTATGCCTCTGGAGGTTTAGTCAGCATTGGCTTCCAAGGGGTGCCTCTTGGTCAGGGTGGGCCCATTCATTGCCCTGCTCTCAGGACCCAGGACCAAAGGGCAAAATGTTTCCTGCAAAGGGGCCCCACATGCCTCAAGTCCTGTTGTTGGTTCTAAAACTTATTTTCTTTATTTTTACTTAAGGTCAGTGAACCTCAGAAAAAGGAGATGATTTGCTCAATAGGAGGTTCAAGCTCAACAGCCGCTCCTCGGAAACCCTGTATAGGGTCGCTATGGGTCGGAACCAACTCGACGGCATTTAATAATAACAACAGCATAAAGCTATTAATTCTTTCATAGTTTCAGTAGAGAACAGCTTTACGCAAAAGCATAATTTAGTCTTTTATCTGAAAGTGATATTTGTTAAGAGAATACACAAGTCAGAAAAATATGCGTATGGGGCATGGGGTGTGGGGACTTTCGCTTTCTGCATTTTGGATTTCTGAAATAATAATTTGTATGGTCTTATTTTAGGAATCAGTTAAAAGCCAACAACATTACTAAGAGAAATGAGAAATATTAAGGTAGAAAAGAATAACAATTTAAAAGGCAGTTAGTTTTTGAGTTTTTGAAACAGGAAAAACGTAATGACTTCCTTTGCCTTTTCAAAACAGCAGAGAAACAACAGAAAATTCTTGCTAGAATGACAGAAAAAAACCTTTTTTCATAGGAGGTAATATGCTTTCTTTTTGAGTCCTGGTGTGGTGCTGTTGGGTTAATGCACCAGATGGCAAAGTCAGCTACAAGGCCGGCAGCTCAAGTTCACCAGCTGCTCCTTGGAAGCCCTATACAGGGTCACTATGGGTTAGAACCAACTCAGTGCAATTAACAACAACAACAACAACAGCAGCAGCAGCAGCAGTATGCCCTTTTTAGTAGCTCTTGTGGAGTCCTGGTGTGGCGCTGTGGATTAATGCGGCAGACTGCAAAGCTGTTTGAACTGCAAGGTCATGGTTTAAGTTTACCAGCTGCTCCTCGGAAACCCTATACAGGGTCACCATGTGTTGGAACTGACTTGATGGCACTTCACAACAACAACAACATGAACTCCGGTAGTAGAGTAAGTTATGAGTTGGGCTGCTAACCATAAAGTCAACTGTACAACTCTATCAGTTGCTCTGAGGGAGAAAGGTGAGGCTTTCTGCTCCCATAAAGCCGCTGTACACCCTTGGAATCCATATACAGCGTCACTGTGAGTCAGAACCAATGGGACAGTACTTAACAGCAACAACAATATGTCTTTTTGGGCAATAAGACACATTCTGTTTTGTCACCGTATTGTTGTGAAATGCTGTCCAGTCAGTTCTTACTTATAGTGACCCTGCATATGGTTTAGGAGGAGCAGTTGATGGGTTTGAACTTCCAACTTTGTGGTTTGCAGTCCAGTGCTGATCCTACAGTGCCACATCAGGAGTCACCTTAATGCAGCCATATTTTTATTCTTTATATAAATCAAGTCACCAAGTTAAACCAGGGTATTTGCCATATTAATCTTCCAGCTCCATCTGCAAAAATGTAGATATAATATACACACCACTTTCCAACTTAGAACTTCTTCACTATAAATTCTTGTCGTTGGGATGAATCTTTGCTCAGAGAAACAGCACTGCCTAAACTGTGATATGGTTTGATATTCAACCTTGTTTTTCAGTAATATCAGATTTCATGAGCCGAAACATTGAGCTACATGTTGTTGTTTGGTGCCATCGAATTGATATGGACTTGTAGTGACCCTATGTACAACAGAACGAAACACGGCCTGGTTCTGAGCCAACCTCACAATTGTTGACACACTTGAGCCCATTGATGTTGCCACTTTGTTGATCCATCTCCCTGGGAGTCTTCCTCTTTTTCTCTGACTCTCCAACCTTACCAAACATGATATCCTTCTCCAGTAATTGGCACCTCTTGACAATATGTCTAAAGTGTAAGAGACGAAGTTTGGCCATACTGGTCTCCAAGGAGCACTCAGGCTGTACTTTTTTCAACACAGATCTGTTGGTTCTTTTGGCAGCCCATGACACTTTCAGTATTCTCCAACACCATAACTCAAAAGCATCAATTCTGCTACGGTCTTTCTTATTCACTGTCTAGCTTTCGCTTTCATTTGAGTTTATTGAAAGTACCATGGCTTGGGTCAGGCACACCTTAGTCCTCAAGCTGACATCTTTGCTCTTCACTTTTAAAACGTCTTGTGCAGCAGATTTGCCTAATGCAATATGTTGTTTGATTTCTTGACTGCTGCTTCCATGAGTGTTGATCCAAGAAGAATGAAGTCCTTGACAACTTCAGTCTTTTCTCCATTGATAAGAATATTGTTTATTGGTCCATTGGTGAGGATTTTTGTTTTCTTGACATTGAGTTGTAATCCATATGGAAGTCTGTGTTCTTTGATCTTCATCAGTAAATATTTTAAGTCCTCTTCACTTTCAGTATGCAAGGTTGTTTGTATCATCTGCATATTGCAGGTTGTTAATGAGTCTTCCTGCAATCCAGATGCCATGTTTTTCTTCATAGAACCCAGGTTCTCGGATTATTTGCTCACCATATAGCTAGAATAAGTATGGTGAAAGAAAACAAGCCTGTCACACACCTTTCTTAATTTTTAAACCATTCAGTGTTCCCTATGTTCTGTTCTGCCTCTTGGTCCAGGTACAGATTCCTCATGAGTACAATTAAGTGTTCCGGAATACTCATACTTTGCAATGTTGTCCCTAGCTTGTCATGATCCACACATTCAAAAGCCTTTGAATAGTCAATAAAGCACAGGCAAACATCTTTCTGGTATTCTCTTTCAGCCAAGATCCATCGGACATCAGCAATGTTATCCCTCATTCTACATCTTCTTCTGAATCAAGCTTGAACCTCTGGAAGTTCTCTGTCAATGTATGCTTGCAGCTGTTTCTGTATTACCTACTCACAGCTTGCAGCTGTTTCTGTATTACCTACTCAAAGATACTGTCCGATGGTTTCCACATTCCATTGGGTCGCCTCTCTTTGGAATGAGCACAAATATGGATTTCTTCCAATCAATCGGCCAAATAGTTGTCTTCCAAATTTCTTGGCATAGATGAGTGTCTCCAGTTCTGCCTCACTTTATTGAAATATTTCAATTTGTTTTCCATCAATTCCTGATGCCTTGCTCTTTGCCAATTCCTTCAATGCACCTTGGACTTCTTCCTTCAGTATCGTTGGCTCTTGGTCATATGCTACCTCTTGAAACAGTTGAACATTAACCATTTACTTTTGGTACAGTGACTGTGTATTCCTTCCATCTTCTCTGGATGCTCTCTGCATCATTCAGTAATTTGCCCAGAGAATCCTTCAATAATGAAAGTCGAGGCTTGAATTTTTTCTTCAGTTCCCCCAGTTTGAGAAATGCTGAGCATGTTCTTCCTTTTTGGTTTTCTGACTCCAGATCTTTGCACATTTTGTTGTAATATTTGACTTTGTCTTTTCTAGTTGACCTTTGAAATTTTCTGTTCCGCTCTTGTGCCTCCTCATTTCATTTCTAAGCAGTTTCAGAACAAACATTCCTAACAAGTTGATTCCGTATGTGGGAGTTCATGTCTCATAATGGTACTCCAGACACAATCAGTTAACACCTGCCTCTGCATGTTTATGGAGCGTGTCAGAACCGACTCCACCATTGTGCTCTATACCTAAAGACGGAGACTAGGTCCTCACTCAATGAACCTTGAGCGTCATGTTGTCCATGAATTGATGCCCTCCAAACCCAGCTTCTGTTGTCATAACCAAGTCTATATATATATCTAGCTGATAATGGTACCCAGTACTCAACTGTAGTTCCTGATTTGATGCCGAAACAACCTTTGTCCCATTTTCTCTAATGTCTTTAATCAAACCTGACTTCTCATTAGACTCAAGATGAAAGGTATATGGATTGGTCCCTGCTGTTGCTATTGACTTTATGCACTGTTTAAGGCTGGAAACCATCATGTACCCGTCAGAATAATGGGTTCTTATGAGGAAAGTGTCGAGGTATAATACCTAAAAGATTGCTAGAGACAAGACTGGGAAATTGATCATGTTTTGAAACTCTCCTTTCACTAAGTATTTTCTACAGCTATGTAGTTACAAGGCAGCATATGGTCCTGTTGGACTAAACCACACTGTGCTGGATCTCAGCTCAGTTTTGCTGTCCATTATATTTTTCAGCCTTGGGCAAATTACTTGGATCTTGTGTTTCTCATTTATAAAATGGGGATACTACTACTTTTGTTGAGCTGTCATGAAGTTAAATGACTGTCCATGTTTGTATGTATGTGTGTGTAGTTATATAGATGTATTTGTTGTCGTTGTTAAGTACCATGGACTCGGTTACAACTCATAGTGACCCTGTATCAGGTTTCCAAGGAGTGGCTGGTGTGTTTAAATCGCCTGCCTTGTAGTTAGCAGTCCACTGTTTATCCCACAGTGCCACACAAGGTAGAAATATGTATATTTAACTTAGAATCATGCTTGGTAAGTACTAAACATTCAATAACTGCTTTCACTTCAGTTATTATCATTGTAGTACGATTAATGGTAGGTGTTTTATTAAATTAATTTTATAAACATGTAAAAATAGAGTGAGTATAAAGTATTAGAAATGTGCTCATTGTTATCTGAACCTGTTAACCACTGGATTTCACATTTTATTTTTCTCAGTTTATGGAGACTAAATAATGGGTATATTTAACTTAGTGTATTTTCTTCTATAGTTTATCCGAGAAGATATGAAATATAAAGATGCTTCTAATAAACACAACCATCTGCACAGAGAAGATAAACACATAACTGTTGAGGATTTATGGAAACGATGGAAAACATCAGAAGGTAAGACTGTTTTAGTGTCCGGAGTCCCCATCCTCTGATTTCTGCACTGCTTGACCACCATTGATTCACTAACTGCCTATGGCTCTACCAAAATAAGTAAAATAATATTTCTGTGAGGCTTGGTTACGAATCGGGCTGCAATCCTGAAGGTCAGCAGTTTTAAACTACAGCAGCTCCGCGGTAGAAAGATGAGGCTTTCTACTCCCGTAAAGATTTACACCCTCGGAAACCCTGTACAGGGTCGCTATGGGTCGGAACTGACTCGATGGCACTTAACAACAACAACAACATTTACATTTTAGTTTAAAAAAATTCACTTTTTTTGTTGTTGTTAAGTTTTCACTTTTGATTTTGAAAGGTGATTTTTCAAATCATTCTTAGGATTCATAAAGGATCAGATGGGTCTGGCATAATTTAATACTTTATGCTAGAATAAATAAGAATCTATTTTGGATAGCTTTAAGTTGTAAAACATTTTGTCAGCTTTTAGATGGCATCAATATAGAAGGTTTACCCAGTAAAACTGGATCCCAAAGGTTTTTTAGTTTTTTGGTTATGGAAACAGTTTTGAAGGTCTTTTGGAGGCTTAGACCTTTTTTGGCTTTTTCTGAAGTGAATCCTTTATGAAGACTTCTAACATGTAGTTGTGTGATAAAGATCTGTAGTTTAAGTGATATTCCCATTTCTTAACCAGCAAATCTCAAGGTATTTTATGAACAGTAATTAGAGTAAAGTAACATGCCTTTTTTCCTAACATTTCCCTTCCTTTAAGAATGTTAAGTGACCCTGTTGTAGCATGTATTTTTTTCTACAAGTGACTAACGGAATGAAAGGGAGCCAAGGGCAGAATAGCAGGTAGGAAATGAAAGACATTACAGAGTGTAATAGATGGCAGTGGCACTATCTGGGAGTGAGGAAACTATCCCACCAATGCTGTAGAAGATCTGTGACTGACTGACATAGTCATTTTCACTTTAAAAGAGCCATCTGTTGTGAAAAGAAGAAAATAATACAAAAAAACACCTCACTGACTGAAAAGATAGATACAATGACTTTTAAAAGTCTCTCCTTTCCCCTCTTCACACATCATTTTAAAATTGTTGTTGCTGTTAAGTGCCACCGAATCAGTTCCGACTCATAGCAGCCCTGCATAGGGGTTTTTTTT